ACATAAGAGGAGTGACTGAAGTTCATCTCAGATTAAGTACTATGGTAATCTATCAGTAGGATCCATTCACATCCCAGAGGAGTACGCTTACATTTGTGCATATGATACACTATCAGCTTCGGACCACAGGGGAAGGTAAAAGCATGATGCTGAAGTGAAGGAGGATCAAGCTGAGAATTATGTTGGCATGATTCTAGTGGTTAAGTATTTACCAGAAGCAGACTGCTCTTAGGGTGTTGTTTTTCTTCAACCATCAGTACAATAAAGTCATAAACCATGCATAGATCATAGTTTTCCAGAGAAATGGCTGCAAGGGGTCGTGCTTCTTGAGCAAGCAAGCAAAAAAAGAAACTAGAATATATTGAGTATTTGTTGTTAGTCTGAGAAAGCAAAGTTTCTGCTTGAGCTGTAGAGTTGGTGTAGTACAGCACAAGGGAGTATTCTGCCTCTGAGTTGATGTCTGTGAGTATCAGGACAGGTGCTGACTGTAATAGGGTGGCTGTTAAATTGAGCATGAATTTAGCGGTTTGATGGGGTCAGATTTTGCTGTTTATCAGCTGCAAGTTCAGTAGGCAATTTTATCTCTCTTTAGCCTGCTGTTTGTAATGGAAGTTTTCAAGCCTGCAGTCTCAATTTGTGTTAGTGTTGTATCAGTGGGTGCAGCGATTATGCAAGGCCTCTCTCCTTATCATAAATCACTTTTGCAGTCATGGTCATGAGTTTGCTGGCTTGATTTGGTGTTGTCCTTCTCCATAGCCTACTTCATGCTCACCCTGGTTTCTCTCCCTTAATGCTCCTGCAGAGGTCCAGAATTCGTGTTACATGGAAAGGGAAGAGCAGTGGCAGTATGGCAATGCCTGCATTAACACAGCTTCTAACATCACCCTGCAGCTGCTGCTACTGAATAAAGAGACTGTGCTTTGTGTACACCTCATGTTTTGCACATGCGGAATACAAGATGAAGTTCTGAAGTGGCCAGTGTCTTTTTTCCAGGTCCTGCTGTCTCACTGGCGCTGAAAAAATGAAGCCATTTGATAAAAGAGATGAATAACTATAAATTTCTCATGTGTCCCAGTGAAATCCAATGGCATAGATATTGAGAGAGAATCTGAAAGGCATCTGAAAAGCAACATAAAAGCTTTAGGGCAATCAACATAGTACCTATTTTGTCATTTTTGTTGTAATACAGTAAACTTGAAGTTGCTTCATATTCCATTTTATTAGGCACTATCTCAGTGCTAGATACAAATTTGCTAGAGAAAAGGAAAAGAGCAAATGTAATACCTTGGTTGTGTACTTCCCCATCTCTCAGGGAGGAAACCCACTGAATTTTGGCACTCCTGAAAAAAGGTTTTAATGATGAGGAAACCATGTGAATATGCTAGGGTGGTAGGAAAGACCGGTATAATTTTGTGTGGCGTGTGTGGGAGGAATTTTTTAGGGGACAAGAGAATAAGAGCACTGGTATGACAGTATCTGAAATATATTAGGCTTCGTTGTTCCTATTACTGTAAAGATACTGATCACTGAAGGGAACTCAAAAGCAGTATAAATGGGTAGAAGCTGCAGAGATTCATTTATGAGGAAAATCTTAAGAATTAAATATGCATAACTTGCCTAAGCATTGACTACAGGGGTTCATAAATCTAACAAGAATGAGAGGTGCAAGCACAGAAAAATAGAAAAGAACTATGTCTGTTGTCTGGGATAAAGCTGAAATGGAAACTTTGAGTGTCCTGTGCATGACTTCCTGAGAGTGAAATGGTCTGAGCTATTAAATATGCTCCTTTGGGAGAGGACAGGAATTAATTACTTGATGTACAGAGAGCTACACTAGACAGAAATCTAATAAATCTGTTGTAAGAAAAATCCTGGCCTTTTAGGGTGGTTAGATGCATGTAGAGAGCCTGGCTTCATCCTGTGACACTAGTCACGTTAGCTGTCAGCATTATTTGAATCTAGCATGAAGGACATGCGCCACAACAAGAGTTAACTGTGCTGGTTTGGGTCCTACAAACAAATGCTGGTTTATAAACCTGAGAAAATCCTCACTCTCTTCTCATCCTTGAACACTGAGTTGAGGGGAGGAGGGTATCACAGTCCTTTTGGATCTCTCCAATTTACAGGATAATGTACTCTGTAAATTAAACATTATTTAATGAGCTCATTAGGAAAGAAAAATGAACATGTCAAATGAGTTCGGTCCCCTTTGTAGAGGTTAGTCTAACATGAATTCACTAATTCATCCCTTAATTCATGAGGGTTCTGTCTCCCAAGTTCTCTGATTTGTAACTTGTGCACCTTTGAGCAAAGCAGTTAACTTGCCAAGGACGAGAGTGCTCATCCTTCCTTCTTCTGTATGGTGCAGGCATCCCTGCATCACCCTGGGAAGCATGAGAGCTTCAGCAGTCCAGCTGCTGCTGGATCTGCTTCAGAAGCTTTTTGGGTGTACTGAGGAAGTTGGGTCTGTACTATTTCCATAGGCTAATGAATTCTGAAAACAATGACAGACGAGCAAAATTCAAGGATGATGGTACATGAGACAGGAAGCTGCAGGTGATAACAACTGCCTTTAGCTGTTGTGATAACAGCTGGCCTTTAGCCCTTCTTGCCTATTGTGTCCTGCCAGTGCATTGCTCTCGCTTTGACCTGTGCTGCTCCCAGCATACATCAGGCCTTGGGATGGGCTGCATGTTAGCCAGAATCTGAGCAGGAGCTGAGTAGCAGGCACAGAGACTTCCTCAGACCTGCTTCCATCTGATGGTCAGGCTGAAGCTAAGTGGTAACAACTCCTCCTCTCTTGCCACAGACTCATTCTTAGACCCTTGAGGCTCTTCCTTGGAATTAACCTTTGAGAATGTACCAGTTGTGTTTTCTGCTACATATGGTCACCTAAGTATGCAGGCATGACGCAAGTCTACCTGAAATGAGGCACAGTTCGAAGAAGAACTGGTTGATGTACAGCTGCTGTGTGCTGCAGTTGTTGCTTCCACTTGTTGCAGTATTTTCTACATAGGAAATAATATCTAGCAAAATAACTGAAGGCTATGGAATTGGATCTCCTAAAACCAATTTGCTGAGTGCCTTTGATACATGTGATCTTTGCAGCGATAGCTGTGAGACAAAGCAAAATTGTAGTGTGACAACGATGTCAAGCTGCCATACTTCGTGAAACTCATGTTAAGTGTCTTTTATTTTGCTCTTTTAAAGGGAATACGTGTAAAATGTGCTGTGGAAGGGAATGAAAGTGTTCTTCCCCTGTTATTCCCCTCTGGACATCCCTATGGGTTGTTTTTCTGTTGAGCCCTAGAACAGGGAAGCACATAGCACTCTTAAAAATACAATGCAGACATGATAATTTGCTACACGGGTTTTGTTCTTTGCTCCACTGTAAGCTTTGTGTATTACCTTTGGCAAGTCACTTAAACTGTTTTGGGTTTTTTCAATCTGGATAAAAAAGTAATTGTACTTCCCAGCCTGCAGCAGTTGTCTGAAGATCAGAGACAGAGATGTGCAATTACAGTGCAAAGAAGAGACTTAATAATCAAGCTAGCTGTAAGTGCTCTAAAAGATAAGAGTGTATTTCCTGCCTCCAACCTTTTCCTCTTTTCCAAAGCAATTTTTTTGGCAGGCTCACTGCTTTTTTGTTGAGCATTGAATACTGACAGCTGTTACATTCTGGGTTGAGGTACTCTTTACTATCTGTGCCTGAATTACCCAGCAGTTGAAAATAAACATGGGAAAGGATTAAGATGCCAGGCATTGATTCTGTTTCATATTTAGGATGCCAGGTGTGATTACAACGTAGGGTCGGGCTCTTGAAGCAGAGGCATCCTTTAGAGAATGTGAAGCAAGGAGCTGCAAAGGGCTGTCTTGGGGCACCCCATTCTTCCTTCTTGGCAGGTGTCAGTTATCTCCTGACCATCACAGGCTGAAAGTGCAGGACCTATCAGAACAGCTTCTTCTCAGGCATCAGCTGTAGCAAGACAGGAGCATGACTTTCTGCAATAGGGGCTAAACAGTAATGCAGACTAAAGCTAATGGTTTGGTGTGAAACAACAGAATCCCACAGAAACCTAGGAATCCTGCAGCCCTATAATGTTTTTTGCTAGTTTTGCCAGTTTAATTTTCAGAAATCTCTTGTTCTTTCCTAGATTTGAGCTGTTCTGTTGTTGTTTAAATGCAGCTGTATCTTGAAGGGTTGAACTCATGAAGCACATGGTTAATTTAGTCAGATGGTTAACAGCTGCTTTATAAAATCCCAATGAATTACACACTGCAAAGTAAATACAAGTTTTCAGTATTTTGACTCCTAAACAGGTATGGTATTGGCTACTGCAGCCTGGCTAAATATTCATGCTTCAAACCCATGGATATTGTTGATAGTTGTTCCAGTTCAATCTTCTGTGAAATATTCACAGATTTACAGTCAGCTTAAAAGTGAAGCTGTCAAAACAACCTGCTTGGTAATGGTAAAGAGATAGCTATCAGAGAAGTGACAGGCAGCTTCTGGGCTGAAGTGTTTCACTTCAGAAATTTCAGCACCATTTGTGTTTTGTATCATTTCTTCATTCATATGCAGAAATGCATACATAAAGATTCTCATTTTTTTTAAGATTTTGAAATGTCTGAACTTGTCATCTGGCTGTTATTTTTAGTGCGTTTTGACTGTTTTTCCTTGCAAAGGAAGAGAGAAAGAGGAAATAGATGAATGACTTAGTACGCATGTTGTAAACAAAATACACAGTGATGGGTGAATTTATACAGCTAAACTGCCTGACCACATTGTCTGCAGGCAAGTGGTTGAGTCTTACTGTTTTAAAGTTTTCAGAAGAGACTGTCTTATTAATAGTAGTGGTGGTGCAGCACCCACAAATAGAAACACAGCAGTTGAGGTCAGATATTTCCCGTCTGGTTTCTTAAACACAGGTCTAATTTTTAGATGAAGGAAATGAAAGGAAATGGTTCTGTTGTACTGTGTCTCCTTGGCTCCATGTGGAATGGCATGTGGAAATGGTCTCAACCGGGATCTAAGTGAGGATATATTACGAAAGCAAGCACAGACTGAAAAAGTGGGCAACTTTGAGAAATATGCCAAAGCTGCAAACAGATTACCTTTCTGTGCAGAACAGATGAGGGTATTGTGTCTTTGCCCATGTGCAGTGTCGATCTCAGAAATAGCCGCTGACTGCTTTTCTTGTTCCACTGCAACAGCTTTATTTGTCTTTGCCTGCTTTTTCTGTGTTCTTTTTTTCTGTAGCTTCAAATGAAAATCACAGAAATGAGAGAAGCAAGGGGCAGAGATACTAGGGAGAGAGCCCAGCTCCTGACGAGGCAGATGCGTCAGGTGAGAAAACAACACATAGTCAGCATTCCCTGTGGCATGGCGATTGTCGTTGGCTCTGCTGCTCAGGGATAGTGCTCAAGTTTCTGTATTTGTGCATGTCCCATCCTTCTAAATTCATGTCTGCAAACCTTCAGTTAGGCTGGTCGGATATTTGGCCTGTTTGGGAAACTGGTAGCTATTCAGCTGGTGACCAACTCAAGGTCACTAGATCATTGTCACTGGGGACACGTTTAACGCTGACCACAATCCACCTAGTTTTCAGGCTTTTCTAATTTAGGCCAAGGGTTGTGTATATACATATATATATATATATAATTGGAGACACATATATATCTTTCCAATTTAGGATGTATATATGCACACAAAATAGCTAGTTGAAGGTCAGGATGGTGCCTCTGGTGTAATTTTCCCATATCTCAGGGCTTGGGGTGCTTATCTTGGCTCTAGGCAGAACAGGAGCATGCATCTTTACAGAGTGACTTGTCATTTGCCTTTAGCAGTTAACATGAAAGTCTGGATAATAAGTATTCCTTGATTTGTTGCTTTAATCTTCTAGAGGTAACACTTGGCTTTTGACATTGCTTCCCTTTCTCTGGAAAAAAAAAATTGAGTCCTTAAGTCCCTTAAAAAGAGTAAATGGTTTTGTTAGAAACTTCTGACTCTGTTTCACCTACATGTGAACGCTCTGCTCTTACTTGTAGGACATTAATTATGAAAAACTGAATATATATATATATTTTAATTATGATGCTAGAGACTTCTTACTGGTTTCCTGGGAAATTGCCTGTGGTTGGAGTTTGGGATTTCAAAACAGAAAGGAATTCAGCTACTCGCTATTTGACAAAGGCTGGGCTCTAACTAATATGCAATTTTTTAAGGAAAAAGGTAATCACGCATAACATAATGGAAGTAGGAGATGAGTTGGCAGGGTAGCGTTACTGTAAGGAGTCAAAAAAATAGTCAGTTTCTTCTGATTGCAGGGAATTCTTAAGCAGTCATTATACTTGCACTTTATGAACCTTTTTGTTGTGTCTCTATTGCATTTCATCTTTAATTTATATCCTTGAAGTCAATTATCCTTGTAAACTTCACTTGAAAACTGTTTTTTTCCTTTTCAGCAAGGAGTCTTCCTAGCACTGTGAAAGTAATCCATCTTAAATCATCAAGTTTGACAAACCAGAGATAGCAACAAGTAAGATCTAACTGAGCTACCAACATACTGTCTTTAATTCATAAATAAGATGTCAATAAAGCAAAGGCACAGCATTATTTGTGAATGCAGTGATACCACATGTTTGGGGTGGCTTTGTAAGAGCTCTTACCTGCTGATGTTTGAGTATGCTAAGCACCTTGAGCAGAATACAATTACTGGTATAATGTACAGATTACCTAAACAACATGGTTTGCCAGTTGCTTTGCTGATTAATGGAGAGGTCCATGGTGGATAATTCTGAGTGCTTGCTGAAGTGTACTCCTTTCTGTCCCTTTTTGTACCAGGCTAGTACATGTTTGTGGAAATAAGTGGCCCTGCCTGTGCTTTGTTTGGTTGCTTGTGAGATCCCTGAGCTGAAATAGGGTTGAGGCAGTTTTGATAAGGTTACAGTCTTGGCTGCATGTGTACTGAAGATACATAACAGTACTAATGCATTATGACACTTCTTCTACAATTCTTTTTCTAATGAAAATGTGGGAAGACAAAAACTAACAACAGCCAGAGTTCTTTGCTATCCTCATGCATTTTTTAGCTGATCAAATCAGATATTTGCTTATATTCAATTTTAATTACTGCAAAGACATGGATTGATTCTTTTGGTGTGGTTGTTTATGTGAACTCTAATTTATGTATGTATAGGATTAAATATTTGTGCACTACCTGAGCAAATTAATTTGGATACCTGTTGGCTGTTAAGCTTTCAACCTTAACTAAAAAAGTAAGTTTTATTCATGACATTTTAAAGGGGAGTGGTGAAGGAAGAGGGGAAGGCAAGAATTAATTTGTATATTGTTAGTGGTGTTCTGTCACTTTTTGCCATATGGAGGAGTACCAGTGGATCTGTATGCCATTTCTCCTCTGCTCTCTGGTTTCTTGTCTAAATTCACCAATATTTTATTTGAAATAGGCATTTATGGCAATGCCTGTCATTTTTTTGCATTCTGCAGCCCCCCTTAGCTAGCCATTAGGCATGTATTGAGTACAATATCTACTTTACCCTTTTGAAAAAGGAAATCTTGAACATCGATATTTGTAGTTTTAATAATATTATTACCAAAAAACTGAATATGGCCACTTACTTCTCATAAAAATCCAGGAATATTGTCTGGCTTGTTCTTCATACACTTTCTCATATGCACACAAAACACTTTCCTGCAAAGCTGAATATACAGGGTATTGTCAGTAAGAGTATCCATTAATGGAGATGTAAATCTGGACAACTGTAATGGTCTGTAGTACAAAATCAGATAGGGGACCTTTTCTGGAGAAGGTTCTTAAAATATAGAATAGCACTGAGGTTACTATTTTTTTCCATGTACGCACATTTTGAGTTTAAAGAAAAGGTTTTGGAAGAGGACATCACTACAGCTTCTAAGAGGATATGTTATGTCTCATCAATATAAAAACATGATGCACAAATGAATGTTTTCAACTGAATCTCTTCATCCCATGAGCTCTACCTGCTCTAATGAAATGCAAACATTGTAGGGGATAAATGTATTACAAATCCGTGTACGTGTCCATGTGGAAATCTCCAGTTCTGATTGTTACAGCTTTCTCTGTGCTAGATCAAAACCTATGAGACACGTCTCCTTAAATCTCATCCTCATGTGGAAGTGGATGCACATTATAGCTTATGGTGAGTTATGGTTGGCTCCATTACCTGCTGAAAGTCTTACAATTATATTTCAACTGCAAACCTGAAGTTCATAGACTGAAAAACCTAGTGCTTTATGATACGTATACAAATTTGGAGTGCTTGGTTGGAAGTCAGGTGTGACTGAAGTTGAAGTCTGTGGTAACCTTTTAGGTGCTTGATACCAGGCTTAAATACTTCACGTGTGGAACTCCTTGAGGTTAGTGCCTTATCTGACAACTCGAATGTGAATGACTTTGCAAAGTCTGCACAGTGAGTCAGAACCGGAGTTACCACCTAGTCTGACTTCCAGCTCACCTACTTGTGTTGCCAGGAGGAAGTAAATTGCTGCACTGTAAGATGGAAGAGAATACATCAGTGTGGTTCTTTAACTTTTATGGATGTTAAAATTGGTACCTTTAGTGAGATAAGAAAAATACACTCCTATAATAGATTCCTGGAACAGTCTGTGCTGTCCCTGGCTGAAGGCAGATTAGATTGGGAAGAGTTTACAATAGGACTGCAGGAAAAATGACTGAAAAGTGCATCAAAGATGAAGTACCTGCATATGCATGAAGCAGTATATAAAGACATTTTTCTACAGAACAGTGTTTTTTTACTGTCGATTGCACATCTTTACCATGGCTCTGACAACACCTTTATTATAACTCGATTGTCCCAAGAAAAGCACTAAATAACGTACACGTCTTTGAATATGGTGCCTACAGTGTTCTTACCTTGCAGCATTCAGGCTTCATGAGTGACCACAGACTCTAAACAGCAGTATTTGCAATGCTCCAGTGCTCACTCTGGATTAAAGCTACAGATGACCTTTATGGAAGATAGCAGTCTTTCCACATTGGTAGAGATAAACAGGCAGAAATTATTTTGTTGTTTGGTTGGGGATGCTTTTGTCTGCATACACAGAATAAGTGTTAAAGCTATTCTGTGTACAAATTAATTGTGGTTAGGAGGGTACTAGGTAAACACGCTGAGGTGGAACAGCTGACCCTTGCTGTTTAACAGCATTGCTCCTCTCTGTTGTTTTGGTGGTGTGGAGCAGCAATCTTGCTGCCAGGAATGAACAGATGTTAGATGTGAGTTTTGAGTAACTTCTCTGTAATCATATTTAATTTAAAATTAACATCTCTAATGCACTAATGTTTTATGCATCCTAGTAGAGGGAATGTAGGCTGTTGGATCTTTGAGCACTTGTTAATTGTTTCTGACCGAGTGGCTGGTGGCCATGTAATTAAATAATGTTAGTGGAAACTAACTTTAGTAGACAGACATGCAGCATAGTTGCATGTCTTGTTCCTATAGGAAACCACACCGCCAAACCAAAAGAAAAATCCAAGTCATCCATAATTCTGCATGTTACTAACCTGAAGTGTGATGTTTTATGATCAGGGGTTTCCTCTCTTCTTCTGTTGGCAGTTAGTAAGGTTTTGAATTTGAATTTTGACCTGGAAAATATTTGGTCACTTACAAATTCAAAAGTGCTAATTAATGAAATATATAACATGGAGCTGCCTTGCTAATCAGTTTACGAAGATAGAAGTGCAGTGAGAACACTTTAGATTCCTTCAGAGCAAGGAGTTTTTGCAGCTGCTGGCACAACCTGTACTCTACACCTTCCTTCAGATCAAAGTTGATAAAAGGGGGAAGCAGGATCCATACTTTTTAAGGGCTAAGTGCAGTTTTGAATTCAACTTCATATACTTCTTTTACTCGACAATTAATAGCTTTCCAGTAAATGGTTTATTTAGTGTATCAAAATGTAAATTGTCCTTCTCTGATAGTATTTTAAGGATAAATTTCTTTGCTGTTTCCAAAATAGTTTGCAACACGTTAGAATAACTGTTGGCATCCCTCCTGACCCATTGTTTGTGGGGTTTTTTTCCTGCGCAAAGTGTATATACATAATGCTTTACAAAAGAATACAAAAATACTTGATATTCTTCTATTCTTAATATCAAAACATAGTGGCAGGTAGGAAATCTCTTTGCATATGCACATTTACATAACAAAGGGAAAAAGTAACTTTAATTTTCTAGTGATCCTGTGCTAAAATTCCAAGATTAAAAGCTAAACAGTTTTCAGGTCCTTTGGATGTGGGAAATTTTTATGTTCCACTGCTTGCTCTTTGTA